ATCGGTGTAGCGAGAACAGAGCTTTTCACATCTGGTAAGACACTGCTTTGTGTGGGCAATGCCACTGCAGCCTTGTGTCCCCATTGGGGACTCTGAAGTTGAAGAAAGTGCTGCTAAAATATGTTGTTTTTGTTCCAGCCCTGAGTGTCATCTCACTTGCATTAAAATGTTTTACCTGTGAGGAATTAAATGGTGAAGTGAATCTAACCTTAGAGTAATCTATGCGTGTGGTTCTTTCCACTCGCTAGTGTCCAGAATGCAGGTTCCACAAGTGAGCTCAATGACATGGAAGACGGTGATCCTGTCCTCACTTTGCAGTGCTAGCTTTTCTGGTCACGCTATAATGGAGTTATTTCAGGGAAGGACCAAACTAATGAAGAACAAGTCATAAAACTGGAAGGATGCCAGAAAGCATCTCATTGACTGAAATGGTCTATTGTGCCAGCCTCAGCAAGTAGATGAAATGGGTTTAAAGGAAAGACAAAAAGTGAGAAAACTTGGGAAGTACCTGCTAGAGCACTGATAGCATATTTATTTATAATCACCCACCAAAATCCTAGTAAGAATTGATAGACTATTTACATTGTTGGAAGGTTAAGAGAAATCTTTTGGGAAACATTGAACTAAGTACTTGTTTGCAAAGATATAGTCCTGAACCCCAAAAGGCAGGCCTGTGTAGACAAGCTGCAGAAGTGATTTCTGGGATCCTAGGCTGCAGCAGGGGTAGGGGATCTATGGGAGAATCGTTATTGAATCCTAGCAAAGTGACTCTGTCCTCCCAGGATGGTTTCCTACAGGTAATAAAGGCACAGCCAGTCTCTATATGAATGGCTTTAGCACTCACATAGCTGTGAAGTTGGAGCACAAATACGAGGAAGAATGTAGGAAATGTGGGCTTTAACCAAGGGATGCCAAAAGCCTGTGGGAATAACATGAGATCAGGAGCCTAACCAAGCAGAAAGCAACAATCTTTATTATAAAGCAAGGAGCAACTGAAAATTGAAAGGCATGAGCTGTATCAACAGTTATAGATACAGCAGGAAAGGAAGCCACACAGAAGGACGCCATGTGGAAAATATTCTGTGAGCTTCTTAAGGAAATGCAGGGCCGAGAGCGTGGTGCGGAACTAACATTGCACAGGCTAATTCTCGCTGTCAGGTTACAATGCCTTGATTTGCAGTGATTGTCAGAGACATGAGAGTCACTGGAGTTCATCCCCACCCTGCAGTTCAGATGCAGCTGTCCTAGTAACTTCGCTGACAGCAAACATGGCAGCGGTTGCCGCCATTCTGGGTCCACTGCATTGGGAGAAAGCTCTGCCACTCTGTCCCCAAGGGTCTGAAGATTTGCCGTTGAATATGGTGGCTTATCATGGATCCTTGGCTTCTTCCCTTTTCTGCCACCGAATCACTTGGGGCCTCAGTTTGAATGACAGCGCAGCCTGGCTGGTCAGACTGAGTCTCAGGAACTCGGGGTACCACAGCACAGTGTTGCGGGTAGACAGAAGACTAGGTCTCTTTAGGTGGTGTTCCGTGAAGAAGTGGCTTTCTGACTTGATTAGAATTCCCTTTTTAATTGAAATGTTATAAAAACCCAAGTACATCAACCAAACAGAAACAAAAGCTTTTAAAGTTTTTATTTTGAAATAATTCTAGACTTACAGGAATTTGCAAAAGTACTACAGAGAGGTCCCGTGTACCCTTCACCCAATTTCCCTCAAAAGTAACATCATACATAACTCTAGTATAACCTCAAATATCAAAACAAGGACGTTGGCATCCTTACAATCTACAAGACTTAGTCATTATTACATTTTAGCTGAAACCTTGTAAATGCTGGCTTGACTTGGTAAAAAAAAGATCTTGTATATTACTGAAAAAATAATTAAGGTGCATACCATGTTGTGGTCGCTTAGTTTTGAAATATTTTGATGTCTATCATGATGCTTCCATATTATCCCTTAGTTAATGAATGAGGGAAAAAATGCTCTTGGAACAAAGTTCTTTATTTTTCATAATGGATATAAATCCATGTTTCAAAGAATCTTATAGATAACTTTGTGTTTTTAGGATGATGTCTTGTGCAATCTGATAAGATAACCAGTTGTTTTGGTTTTTGTATGTTTGAGACCTGACAGCTGTCCTAGACTTAGGACACATCCCGGTCCTCTCCTTTGAGTGTTTTACACGAGCGCATGCATCATTAGTGTTATCTTCAACAGCCAGTGGCTTTCACAGAATCCTGGAGGGGAGCTCTTCGGAGGGCCACTATGTGTGGTGTGCTACACGGTGTGCTCAGCTGTGGACCCGAACGGTCACTATAAATACTCCACACTGTTCAATTTCCCCTCTTTATAAACACCTGGAAGGGTGCTTTTATATGAGGCATTTACAAAACATTAAAAAAATTGTCAACATGAGTGAACCCTTCACACTATGGTGTATGTTTAGCATACATAATTTTTACACAGAGTCAACTTACACCTAAATATATTCAGCAAGTTACAGGGACCACACAGATAGCTCTATTATTAGAGATGGAACCTTAAAAATGCCATAAAAAACATTCCTTAGGAGTTTGCTACGTGCCATACATTATCACATTTAGTCTTCCTAGCCTCTCTATGGGGTAGGTATTAAAATTTTCCTTTTACAAATGAGGAAATTGAGCCTTTTATTGAATAAATTGTCTTATATCACCATAAATGAAGAATCCAAGATTTGAAGTTAAGTTGAATTTAAAAATCAATGTTTTTAACTGCTATATAGTGAATCCACACAGGACAATGGGGAACCCCTTATTCTGGAGGGGCAAGCAAGTCTTGCTGAGACCCACACAGGGTCCCACTTATCAGGGGACATCTGGGTGTGCATACTGTCATACTAATCACAGTGGTCCTCAAGTTCTCTTTTTGCAAAACCTGTTCAAAAGTCAGACTTTAATTTCAGTCTTCTCCCCCAACTATCAATAACTCCCCTGTATTTCTTCTTCTGTTTCTAAATGCTACTGCACATGACAAAGGAAAATGAGGATTTTAGAAATATGATCTCTTTCATATTTTATTCAAACTGCAATGCCCCCTACAAATATTATTGTGGTATCATAGAAGCATATTTGATTTTTGTCCCCAGTTCCTGTCACGGAGCTCCTAAAACCCTTGGGATTTCCTGAGTGATAGGAGCCTCTTTTGTTCTAATGAGGTGAGTCTTGGCAGCCCCCAGATAGCTTCGGGATGAGGGCCAGTCACCTGCAAGACCAAGCCTTGATTAGAAGCTGCAACTTTCAGCCCCATACACCTAACCTCTGAGAAGAGAAGAGGGGCTGGAGATTGAGTTAATCACCAACAGCCCATGACTTAATCAATCACGCCTACATAATGAAACCTCCTTCAGAACCTGTAAACATTGGGGTTTAGAGAGCTTCTGGGTTGGTGAACACATTGGTGAGCTGGGAGGGTGGCATGCCTATAGAGGGCATGGATGCTCTGAGCCACCTCCGCCATACCTTGCCCTATGTATCTCTTCCATTTGCCTTTTCTTGACTTGTATCATTTATAATAAACCAGTAAAGAGTTTTTCTGAGTTCTGTGAGTCATTCTAGGAAATTATCAAACCTGAGGGGGATTGGAAGAACCCCAAATCAGTAGTAGACGAGGCAGAAGTGTGGGTAGCCTGGGCACCCCATTTGTGGCTGGTGTCTGAGATGGAGGCAGTCTCATGGGACTGAGCCCTTAACTTGTGGGATCTGAGCTAACTCTCGGTAGTTAGTGACAGAATTGAACTGAATTATAGGACACCTATTTGGTGTCAGAGAATTGGAGAAATGGTGTTGGAAAACATACCTGGTATTTGGTGTTGAGGAGGAAAAAAAATCTCACACATTTAGTGTCAGAAATCTTGAGAGTAAAAACAGTCCAATTGTCTACCTAGGAATGCTCTTTGTTTTCGGCTTTGTGGGACTTACCATCTTCCTGTGTGGAGTACTGTAGGCATTAACTAACTAGGCTGAAAGGAAAGTGTGCCCCTTATACTGAGCGGTGCTCTTCTTCCTAGTGTTTCCAGTGTTCTAGCTACAGCAGGTTAGGGGTAAGAGGTGGGTGTTTTACTCTTTCATGTCCTCTTTCTGTTACACAAGGGTGGACTCAGCTTTTGTGAAGCCTGAAGCTCATACAATTAAGTGGGCGCTCTTCTGGAAATGTAGTGCAAATACATTGTACATCTGCACAACATGAATGCGTTGGTGAGGCTCTTCCCAGGAGTTAGGAAGAGGCCCAGGAGGAGGAACTGGGCAGCTTAAACTTCAATAGCTTCATGGTGTAAACAACCTCCCCCTCTCTTGGGTGATGCTGATCTTCTGAAGTGATAGAGCAAAGAGAACATGGCACAGGCAGAACATCTGTTTCTGAACCAGAGAAAATTCCCCAGAGTACTGGGAGGGAGGGGTCAAAGGGAAGCGTAGGAGGTCCCAGGGGAAGGCGATATCCAGGCTCTAGCAATGTCCCTGGCATCTAGCAGGCAATTTGATAAATGTTTATTGACTCAATAAATGCACACAGACGATTTCCTTGAGGGGTCTCACAGGTAGATTCATTTGATCTAATGATTCAATGAATTAATTCTGCATTGGTGAATTATGTAGATTTTAAATGAAATCCTTTTTTAAAACCCTGTATTTCTCTATTTTAAACATGAACCTAGGACTTTGACTCTGTGATCATTCTCTATATGCAGGATGCCAGATTGGTTGTCCTGCTGCTCCAGAAAAATCAAGTTCATGATAGAGATGTGCGAATCCATATCCACATATGGTCAGACAAGCCTGATCTGCAGAAGGGCATGGTGAGCTGGGAGTGCATCTGTCCCGGGAAGAGTGCACGCCCAGAAAAAGTGGATTGTGTCCGAGCTTCAAGAAACTGTGGTGTCCAATGTATTTATAATATGTTTTCAAGGCAAAATTCCAGGGATGTGTAAGTGTAAAGAAGAGGAGGAACAAAAGCAACATTTGAAACTCAGTAAATTCCAGATGATTTTAATCAAAATTATTTCCAGTCACTGTCACTCCTGAGCAGCATTTTCTGCCATGAGGCACCAGGCCAGTCAGGTTCCTGACAGTTTTCTTCATCAATCCAGGAAATATATAGCGGGCCATTTGCACCATCTGCTACCCAGGTGTCAGTCGTTGGAAGGCAGCTAGGAACTCGGGAAAGCATGCTGGAATACCATTTGGAAAAAACCCTGAAACCTGCTCTGGGAAGAGACGGGGAACATATTGAGCCTGAGGAAGAAAGAGACTCCACAAAAAGAGCACGAAAAAAGCAAGGATATATGTTAAAGCTCTGACAAAGCAAAAGAAATTCTTCTGTCTCCTCTTAGCCAATTTGATATGATTCTTGCTTCTGGGAATCATAAAAAATACAAATATTTCCTGGGCATTTTGTAGTGGTTGATATTACACTCTTTATACGTATGAATATCTCCTTGTAATAATATTTGTGCACCTGTCTTTTTTTCAGAGTGGGAACATAGGGGAAGAAATCCCTGTTACAGGGCATCCAAATCCTCACCTCATCTCAGGCTGTAATAAAAATCTTCACTGCCGTTACCCTTCTGAAATAATTACCATCTTTATTTTGAGACAGGTTAAAGTGCAATCTTGACACAGTTGGTGTTAGAAATGCTGGCAGCCTTCATCTCCAGTGATGCGGCCATTTCATCTGCCACAGAATGAACTGTCTTCCTTCTCAGTTGGGAACACAGTACAGAGCACTGAGAAGATTTTAGGCAAGGTGGGCTTAGCATGGAATTGCCTCCAAGCGCATAGAAGGGGCGTGGTTTTGTCTGTCCTTGTTACCGTCCAAGCACCCAGGTAACTGTTGCAGTCCTAGGAGTCAGTAATACTCACTGTACCTTCTGCGTTGGAACAAGACAAAAATGTGTAGTTGGTAAAATTTTCCCTTAGTTTCATCACACCACTTTCTTTAGTGCTGCTTCTGCTTTTAAGGGCACTTCTCCATCCCTTTCCTCTACGTCTTCCCTCCCACGGAAGTTGCTTATCTGTTGGTTTATTCCAACGAAAACTTACTTAGGGCTTGGGAGAGTTCATAGGGACCTAGGCTGTGTTGAGTAGAGTAATGTATGTCCCTTTTTAAAGAATACAAAAAGTACTCCTGGATCTTGAGTATTAACTTATGATTTTTATTATAATGTTACTTAGTATTTATGAACATAAAACTAGGTATAAGCTCCATCTGCTTATAGCTCTTATACATGAATACATCCAAGATAAATTTACATATTAAATATGAAGGAAACTACAAAACCAATAAAAGTCAAATTAACAGCATTAATTTAATGTGACAGATAAACCTGTTTTGCTAAAATCAAATTGACTCTCACTCGTGCATATTTTCCTCAGTGCTACAGTGCAAGTCCTCTCAAATTTGGCATGTACGTAACTATTATAAGCTCTGGGTGACTATACAGATGTACGGTGGGGGATGTAGGACAGCGGTCGTTTTGACATTAGGACTTGCCAACATCAGGAAAGTTGGCTTGCCAGCAAATTAAATGGATTCAAAAGATTCTACTATATTTAAAGCCCTTCTTTCTTTAATTTTTAAAAGTAATCCTGGAATTAAAAAAAAAATTACACTTAAGGCAACAACTCCATTAGTGGTTACTTATAGGTTTTCCCACCATACGCTATTATTATTACCACTAAAGAAAAGTTATCAGAAATTTATCTCCCCTGGTTCATGTTTTATTTTTACCTGAAAAAAAAGTTCTATACATATTTAACTATTGAAACAGAATTTAACAAATATCGAAGCTAAGTCCTTTATAAACACCTGCATTTTTTCCAACTCCATTGTAAATCTTGCTCATTGTACAATTTATTCCAAGTTTTTTTCTTCACACCTTCAGCAATATTTTCTATGAGTCTTCTCGACATCTTTGCTGATAGAAGAACACATTTTAGTTTATTTCCATATTGCTTTTCATGTATTATTTCAGCCATTTTTACTCTATCAAGAAGAACAGGTATTTACCCAATGGTAAGTTTTTTTTTGTTCTTTTTTAGATTTTTTTTTTCCTTTTTCTACCCAAAGCCCTCCGGTACATAGTTGTATATTCTTTGTTGTGTGTCCTTCTAGTTGTGGCATGTGGGATGCTGCCTCAGCGTGGTTTGATGAGCAGTGCCATGTTCACGCCCAGGATTTGAACCAACGAAACACTGGGCTGCCTGCAGCAGAGCACGCAAACTTAACCACTTGGTCACGGGGCCAGCCCCCTCAATGGTAAGTTTTACTTTGTTTTTGTTTTTTGCTATTTGCTATTAAATAAGAACCTTAAAATCAACCTCCAAATGTTTATCATTGGTTGATTTTTTAATTTTTAACTTTGAAATAATTATAGGCTCCGAAGCAATTTTCAAAAATAGTCGAGAGGTCCCATGTACCCTTCTCTCAGCTTCCTTCAAGGATAACATCTTATATAAATCAAGGATAACATCAAATATCAAAACTAGGACATTGGCATTGGTACAATCTGCAGGCCTTATTCATTATTAAAGCTTAGTGAAGCTTTGTAAATACTGGCTTGAGTATAAAATGGCCTCAAGTACTACTGAAGAAATAATTCAGGCGCCTATTATGAACTGGCTACTTAGTTTGTGAGTGTTTTGCCTCCAAGGTGTCCATTACCTAATCAACTGAGGGAAAATCTGTGCTTGGGGCAAGGTTCTTTATTTATAATAATGGATATAAATCATGTTCCAAATAATCTTATTGAGAATTTCTTTGCCTAGGCTGACGTTTTGTGCAATCTGATTAGACACCTTTTAAAGAGATTGATACGTGGCTCACAGTTTTCCTAGAATTAGAAACGCATCAGTTCTTTTTGTTTTATACTAGTGAATGCACTAATGTATTAGCTTCAACCTAGTTTCCTTTTTCAGTCACTTTTGTTTTGAGTATTTAATTGAAATTAGATATTTATGCAGTAAAACTACTCATCTGGGCACGCGTAAGCTACATAAATTGCTTAATATGAAGGAATGATTAAGAGCCCTGTTAATCTCCCCTCACGTTTATGTTGAGGAACTCTCTATTCCCTCAAGATTACCTCATATATTTCATGTGACATCCAACTTATGTAACTTGTGAATAGACTTTTTAAAAAAATAGGACTTGAAGGGCCTCGCTTGGTGGTGTAGTGGTTAAGTTCACATACTCCACTTCAGCAACCCAGGGCTCACTGGTTTGGATCCCGGGCATAGACCTACACACTGCTCATCAAGCCGTGCTGTAGCAGCATTCCACATACAAAATAGAGGAAGATTGGTGCAGATGTTAGCTCAGTAACAATCTTCCTCAAGCAGAAAGAGGAAGATTGGCAACAGATGTTAGCTCAGGGCCAATCTTCCTCTCCAAAAAAATAAATAAATAAATAATAGGACTTGAAGATTAAACACTTAATGAATCATCTTATGTCTCTTTTGGAGGTAATGAAATCCACTTAAAAACACTAACACACAAGATACAAAGCCCTCACTGTTTCTTCTTCCTTTCTAGCCTCATTCCTTTGTGTTTACCAGCTCACAATACCAAACTACTGTGACCTCATCACATACGTTTTGTTATTTCACAGCTCCTCTCCTTTATAAATACTTTTCCATCCGTCTGGTGTTCTATTCCTTCCTTTGCTGAACTGGAGAACTCCTATTCTTTCTTTGAAAGCCAAGCTCAGATTTCCCTTCTCCCAGGAAGCTTTCTCTTTTCTTTTCTCTGTATTACTTCTTTGTTCCAGGTGAATTCACTGATCTCACCAGCCTATAATTTGTTATTACATCTCTACTCAGTAGAGAGTAGGAGCTATGTCTTATTCTTCTTCCTCAGACTTCAGTTTCTTGAATCAAATTGATTTTAGACTTGATCTCTTCCCCAAAAACAATGACTTGCCTTTATAGAATCCTGACTACTTGAACCACATGGAACCCACCAGAAAAAGTATAATGATGGAGTGAGAGTATTTGACATTACAGTTTTTAACTATGAGGAGTTTCAAAACTGATGCAACTAGAGAAAAGAATTAACCTGTAAAAGAAATAGCAAATTTCTCTATGATGGGTTCAGTTATATTGCTATTATGAAAGGATTCTGAGGACAATAAACAACTTTCCCTCATAACATTCAGGATTATTGTCTCCACTGTGAATTAAATGGCCTCATTTTCTTACTCATAAGGATACAGTGAATATCTCCTAGGCATTTTGTGACCCTACCTCGACCTGTCCACCCCTCCCTAAACTGTATTGCAGCCTCCAGGACTGTAGAGTATATTATATGGAGTGGGGGGAGGGACATGTCTCAAATTAGACTTTAAAAACTTGTATGCTTTATGTTCCTATATCCTTCCGGAAATGAACCCCAGGGTATACATTTCTTATTTCTTTTCCCTCAGGAGGGTGCCAAACACTTGCTCAGGCAAAGGGGAGAGAAGCTGCTTTGGGCTCTCCTTTCTTCTCCTCTGAGATTTGCTTTATAAAGGAACTTTTACTGGCCTGCAGCTAAAGTTCCCCCATACTGTATTCCTGAGTGTGTAATATCCATTTGTTGTAACTCTCCTCAAATGCCAAGTCACCTGCCAAGTTTTATGGTTAATTGTTATATTTTCACTGCTTTTTATCTGTAAAGTATTTATCTCAATATGCACAGAAGAGATATTAACTCAGACATCCCAGTGACCAAAAGAGTATAGAAAGAGGCAGTAGAGAGTTAGGGCAAGAAAGAAGGGCATAACTTAGCTCACTAGATGCTTGGGGAGTTATGGTAGATGAAGCATTGATTTGTTTATCCTCAGATAATCCATCCCAGACTTGGAGACAAAACAGGGAAGACAGGATTATTTCTTTTTCTTAAGAGCTGGTTGTTGAACATTTGCTAACTTATCATTGGGAATAGATTGAATTAAGATGACAAAAGATGTATCCAGCACCAAGACTGTCTCTCTTATGCTATTGTGCCTACCATATATACTGTCACTTACTAACAGCATGATAGTTTGTGCCTTTACCATATTTAGTACCATTGTCAGCCAGGATCTTGGAAGGGGAAAATAGCTTACTCAAAAAGCATCTTTTCATCAGGATTTAGGGCATAGTGAATAGAAACTAAAAGGAACAGTGCAAATAATAGTGGAGAGCTTTTATTATTTTTAGCCTTAAGAAGAATGGGAAGGGATTCATT